TACTACTTTTTCTGGAATACAAGAGACTACTGCTAAAATAGAAAAGGTAACAGAATATCAAACGACAGAAAATATAATCCATGTAGATGATAGTCAGTTGGCTCAAAGTACCACTGGGGCAGCTGAGCACACTACACAACATGTATCAGTGAATCAAGAAACAACTGTGAAAGTGGAAGAGCAACAAATAACGCAAACTACAATGCATGTTGATAATAGTCAATCGTCACAGAGTACTACTTCAGTAGCTGAGCACACGACTCAATCTGTTCCGGAAACTACTATTAAAGTGGAAGAGCCACAAACAACACAAAGTGTAATGCATGAAGATGACAGTCAATTACCACAAAGTACTACTACAATTGTTGAACATACTACTAAACCTATATCATCACTTCCTGAAACAACTGTCAAAATAGAAGTGCAGCAAACAACACAAAACACGGAAAATGTGGATGACGGTCAATTACCACAGAGTACTACTACAATTGTTGAACATACTACTAAACCTGTATCATCAATTCCTGAAACAACTGTCAAAATAGAAGTGCAGCAAACAACACAAAACACGGAAAATGTGGATGACGGTCAATTACCACAGAGTACTACTACAATTGTTGAACATACTACTAAACCTGTATCATCAATTCCTGAAACAACTGTCAAAATAGAAGTGCAGCAAACAACACAAAACACGGAAAATGTGGATGACGGTCAATTACCACAGAGTACTACTACAATTGTTGAACATACTACTAAACCTGTATCATCAATTCCTGAAACAACTGTCAAAATAGAAGTGCAGCAAACAACACAAAACACGGAAAATGTGGATGACGGTCAATTACCACAGAGTACTACTACAATTGTTGAACATACTACTAAACCTGTATCATCAATTCCTGAAACAACTGTCAAAATAGAAGTGCAGCAAACAACACAAAACACGGAAAATGTGGATGACGGTCAATTACCACAGAGTACTACTACAATTGTTGAACATACTACTAAACCTGTATCATCAATTCCTGAAACAACTGTCAAAATAGAAGTGCAGCAAACAACACAAAACACGGAAAATGTGGATGACGGTCAATTACCACAGAGTACTACTACAATTGTTGAACATACTACTAAACCTGTATCATCAATTCCTGAAACAACTGTCAAAATAGAAGTGCAGCAAACAACACAAAACACGGAAAATGTGGATGACGGTCAATTACCACAGAGTACTACTACAATTGTTGAACATACTACTAAACCTGTATCATCAATTCCTGAAACAACTGTCAAAATAGAAGTGCAGCAAACAACACAAAACACGGAAAATGTGGATGACGGTCAATTACCACAGAGTACTACTACAATTGTTGAACATACTACTAAACCTGTATCATCACTTCCTGAAACAACTGTCAAAATAGAAGTGCAGCAAACAACACAAAACACGGAAAATGTGGATGACGGTCAATTACCACAGAGTACTACTACAATTGTTCAACATACTACTAAACCTATATCATCAATTCCTGAAACAACTGTCAAAATAGAAGTGCAGCAAACAACACAAAACACGGAAAATGTGGATGACGGTCAATTACCACAGAGTACTACTACAATTGTTGAACATACTACTAAACCTGTATCATCAATTCCTGAAACAACTGTCAAAATAGAAGTGCAGCAAACAACACAAAACACGGAAAATGTGGATGACGGTCAATTACCACAGAGTACTACTACAATTGTTGAACATACTACTAAACCTGTATCATCAATTCCTGAAACAACTGTCAAAATAGAAGTGCAGCAAACAACACAAAACACGGAAAATGTGGATGACGGTCAATTACGATTAAGTACTACTCCAGTGGCTGAGCACACGACTCAATCTGTTTCGGAAACTACTATTAAAGTGGAAGAGCCACAAACAACACAAAGTGTAATGCATGAAGATGACAGTCAATTACCACAAAGTACTACTACAATTGTTCAACATACTACTAAACCTATATCATCAATTCCTGAAACAACTGTCAAAATAGAAGTGCAGCAAACAACACAAAACACGGAAAATGTGGATGACAGTCAATTACGATTAAGTACTACTCCAGTAGCTGAGCACACGACTCAATCTGTTTCAGAAACTACTATTAAAGTAGAAGAAGTAACTGAACATCAAACGACACATAATATAATTCACGTTGGTGACAGTGAATTACCACAAAGTACTACTCTAAGAGTTGATCACAGTACTCAATCTATCCCGATAATTCAAGAAACAACTGTTAAAGCAGATGGACCACAAACGACACAAAATACGGTACACGTTGACGACGGTCAATTGCCGCAAAGTACTACACCAACTGTTGATTACACTACTCAATCTTTTGTAGGAGCACAAGAGACTACTGTTAATGTAGCAGTAACAGAACATCTGACAACACAAAATACAATGCACATTGATGACAGTCAGATGTCACAAACTACTACTCCAAGAACTGATTACACGACTCAAGGTGTATCAGTTTCAGAAAGAACTACTAAAGCAATTGACGTTACAGAACACCAAACAACACAAAACCCTGATCATATCTCTGACAGTCATTTGCCAGAAAGTACTAGTCCACTATCAGTACCTACCACTCAATTCTTATCACCTATTGACACAACTAAAAAAATCGAACAAACCACAGAACAACCGGTGACTCCTTCAGATCGGGAAACAAGTATAAAGTCTGAAGGGTTCACGGATCGTATACCAACACTGAAAGTAACTGAAACTAACACTCTTGATACTACTACTCAGATTCATATAACATCCAAACCAGAAAGTACATATTCACCTGTAGAAGTTACAGAACACGTAATTCGCGACAGTGTTCCTGACTTGCATCACACTACTCAACCCTCAGATTTATCAAACACAAATACAATATTTGATTCTAAAATCACAACCGAAAATGAATTCCACAGCGAAAGTTCTTATACAACATCAGCAGTTTTTAATGATACTCAAGTTATTACAACCGGTTATATTCCCGTTAGTACTACTCCGAATGGGGATCATCTTGAGACAGTTACAGAAACAACTAGTAACAACTCAGTTCTCAAATTTACAGTTCCTACGACAACGAGCAGTTCTGCTACAATGGAGTTGCCAGATCATACGAATACAGATACTCATAGTACAACTGAACGTCCAATAAAAGAAACTGAAACAACTACTGATCCAAGTACTACACTAACTACAGAATATTCTACAATAACAGAAACAACTGAAAATCTTAGCACTTCAAAAACAACAATTACAGATTATACAGAAACTACTGATTTCAGTATTACTGAATTTTCTAGTGTATCTGATACAACCGAATTTACTTCAGTATCTACTACTATAGGAAATGATAATACTGAATCTACCACAGGGATCGATTCATATTCTACTGAATTAACTACAGCATTTACAACTAATTCATATGACACAACAGAAACTGCAAATACCCATATAACAGAATCAAGTACAACTGAAGTGACTTCATCCGGTACAATTGATAGCTACAGTACAGTAACAGAAACATCAACAACAGTTACAGACACAACAGCAACAACAGACATGACTACTGATACTTCCACTGATGGAACAACGACAGAAATTCCATCAAGTACCAATCCAGTACAAAGTACATACTATACTACAGTAACAACTGAATTAACAACGGAAGTAACAACTGAATTAATTTCTGATACAAAGTTATACGCTGATAATAGCATCTGTGCCGTGAATGTAGATTGTCCTGAGGATGAATCATGCATAGATAATCTTTGCCAAAATCCTTGCCAAATCTATGATCCATGTATAGGCACTAACAATGCCAATTGTGAGGTAAAGGATCATCGGCCTGTGTGCTTGTGCTCAACTGATCACCAGAATTCGACTAATTGTAGCATACTCCCAGGTAAAAACACCTCTCTAGACGGGAGTTTCGTAATTTCTTTTCTTTTTTTGTACATCACCACCTTCTACGCTCCGGCGATGTGACCCCCGCCCTATGGAAGCTTACTTCAGTGCATATACATGAAAAATCCAGATGAAAATTGGAGGCAACCAATTCTGGAGAGTCACGATGTCGCTTCCCAATACGAATACCTCTCGCTCTCATTTATCTATTATTTGGAAGGATCGTCCTTTTGCCAAATACCATTGGTATTTATCCGGATACAGGACTCGGTTGGAATACCTTCTTCACAATACAAAATGTGGTAGAAGAGCTGTGTCTGTAGTTCTTTTGTTATTCAGCTTTCCTTTTGCAGAAAGTATTCATATGTGCTCCTTCCACGGTTTACTTTATTAACATGCATGGTTTTGTGGTTTTGCCGTTTTAATGTGGTTGAAGGAATATACCTGATATACTAACTTGGTTTCTGTTTTAGCACGAGGGAATTTCTATTGGCAACATTTGATTTGAGGATGTCCACTTTCATCAGTGTATCATGGATCCAAATTCTAAGAGCATTTATTTCTTATTAATTAACTTTGAGAAAGTTCATCTAATGAAAGTGGACAGATTGCCGTCGTACATACTGTGGGCTTTGGGCTTTTTGGCACTTGTAATGCAAATTTATTTAATGTCTAGGTCGTGGGAAAACTTGTCGCAATCATCATGTACATACATATAATCATTTTATTTAATCATATAAGCTAGCTGTAAGATTTTATCGTTTTTCAATCGTTCAATCATCCACTCGACGGTGTACGATATTTATTTTTTTTAAATGTACCGTCTCGAGGATGATGACTATTTTATTAATTCAATGCTCAATTACCAGTATACTGAATCTCTCATCTAATCACAATTACATATTTATTTTATATAATGCATCCTCGAGCAGTGCTATATGGAACATTTGATCTCTGTATATTATATCATATACTAGCCGTTATATATTTTCAATATTATCAATACCAATTTTCTAATTAATCAATCTCCTATCAGACGTCAAGTGTACAACACATGGAGATTGTCCTGCGCAATTGGCCTGCATTAACGAACAGTGCTTGAATCCTTGCACTCTTGGCAATCCTTGTGATTACGTGGAAGAATGTCATGTGGAGGAACATCGACCAGTTTGCGTCAAAGGTACCTAGAATTAACTTAAACTGTGCAATATTCAAATGCATAATAAACAGATGAGTTAAATGATTCTATTTTTCAATTTCAGTTGTTCAATCAGTCGACGATGAATGCCCGTACTGTCCACCAGGAATGGAGTGTGACTCAGCTACACGACAATGTGTGAAAGGTTTGTCAAACTTTACTGTTAGTCTCACTGTAAATCAAAGGAATCGTCATAAAGGACGTCTAGCACGGTGCAGGATCGTTGAACGTGTAAATATGTAATTATTGTACATAATTCAGAAACAGTTTTTTTTTTCTTCCTGAGGTACAAATGACGTCATTTACAGTGATGCTTCCTCGCACGTAGACCTGTGTTCTTTGTACTTGTTTTATTTTTTCTTTTCAATTTCAAACAACTCGTTTCCCGATGCGTGCACTGTTACGAACGTCTTCTTCGAGCATATTGTTTTATCGTGTGATAGCGATCTGTGCTACAAAGACAACACTAAAGAATTTTGTATCATACACAATTGCTATCCTGAACAGTTGGATTCGAATATTTGCTTTTCCGTATAAATGTCTTTTTATCAGAATTGTTATCGTGTTTATATGTTATGCACTATCTTCTCTCGGGGGCTATATGGGCTTTGTCACTCTTTCTCTAGTGGGTTGCACTAGCGACAGGGATTGTCCACTGACAGAGAGCTGCGTCGGACAAGTTTGCCAAGAACCATGCTTGATTCGCAATCCATGTGCGAAACATGCTGTCTGTATCAACACCAATCATGGAGCAGATTGCAGCTGCGAGGAAGGATATCATGGAAATGGATTTGCTACCTGTAGTTTGGGTAAGATTATTTTTGGATGAACCATAAGTGACACTGCTCTTTAAAAAAAAAGGCTATAATAAATTGATGGACCTTTATAATTTTTCAGTCGAGGAAGGAAAGAACATCTGCCAGTACAATGAAGATTGTCCGCCCAATAAACTTTGTAATAGATTAAATAGACGTTGCATTAATCCTTGTTTCGAGGATACTTGCGGTGATAATGCTGAATGCTATGTTGAGAATCACGAAGCAAAGTGTAAATGTCCTTTCGGATATCGTGGAAATGCATATATTGAGTGTCACAAAGGTATCATTTTATCTGGCATTAATCTTTCATAATTGTTTAGTAGATTGATGATTATTCATGAAAACAATTTTGATTCAGATTCTAGATGTACGACTGACAGTGAATGCGCCAGTAGCGAGGCTTGCATAAACAGCCGCTGTGGAAATCCATGCAACTGTGCGAGCAATGCCATTTGTGACGTGAAGAATCACAAAGCCTCTTGCAAGTGCCTACCTGGATACTCTGGCGATCCTTCGGTTGGCTGTGTGGAGACTTCCACCAATCCTTGTATTCCAAATCCTTGCGGACTTCAAGCGATTTGCGAGATTGACAATGGAAATCCTATTTGCTTCTGTCCCAAGGGTCTTACTGGAAATCCTTTCAAGCAGTGCAGTAAGTATCTGTAGAAAGAGTAGATTAATCAGTCAGCAGCAATTAATAAATAACTTTTTATAAATTTAGTTCCAGAAGGTGACAACTGTCAAGGAGATCCCTGCGGTCCAAATTCTGGATGTCGCATTGTCAACGGTCAGGTTAAATGTTTCTGCTTGCCAGGATACGAAGGCAATCCGCCAAGGGTATCCTGTACACTTCCGGATAATCCTTGTGATCCTTCACCATGTGGACCAAATACCCAGTGCACTGTTTTAGAAAATGGATTCTCCAAGTGTACCTGTCTACCAGGATACATTGAGAGTCCAAATACCATCAGAGGATGCGTATTGCAATCAGATCCTTGTCAACCGAATCCTTGTGGAACTGGTGCTGTCTGTGACGCGAAGAAGGATCCTCCTTGTTATTGTCCTGACTCAACCGTTGGAAATCCTTACAAGATTTGTGCAACACCAACCGTAGTGGAACTATGTCAACCAGGACCATGTGGTCGCAACGCGGATTGTTACGTTTCTTACAATCAAGAACAATGTTACTGCAAGACTGGATTCATAGGCGATCCTTACTCTGGTTGTCACGCGCCTCCCATCAGCCCCTGTCAACCAAGTCCATGTGGTCCCAATGCAGAGTGCCGAGTCACGCCGCAAAATCAAGCTTTGTGCGAGTGCATCGATGGCACATCTGGTGATCCTACCAGTGCAGCCGGATGCAACAGACCTGAATGCACTGTGGATGACGATTGTTCCTTGATAGAAGCTTGTATGGGATACAGGTGCCAGAATCCATGTCTGGGAGCCTGCGGCATTGGTGCCACCTGTCGCGTCGAACTTCATCATCCTGTATGTTCCTGCAAGGAAGGTCTGTATGGCAATCCAACAATGAGATGCTCGCCACCACTTGTTCCTGAACCACCGAAGAACCCTTGTTTGCCAAGCCCATGCGGACTCAATACAATTTGTCAAGTTCTGCAAGATAGAGCAGTCTGTTCCTGTCTCCCGGAGTTCATTGGAGATCCTCAGAGCGGATGCCATCCTGAGTGTACCATCAATTCAGATTGCTCTGATGACAAGGCTTGTATTGGAACGAAGTGCATAAATCCATGTTCACTTGGTACTATTTGCGGTGCAAATGCAGAATGCAGAGTTTCATATCATACAGCAACCTGTGTCTGCCACACGAATTACTTCGGCAATCCTTTCATCCGCTGTACTCCAAGACCTACAATATCAATGGATGATCAACGCAATCTCACTCTGCCCTGCATGCCTTCACCTTGCGGACAGAGTTCTTTGTGTGATACATTTACCAATCAAGTTGCAGTTTGTGGAGGATGCAATTCTCCAGACAATCAGAACAGTGTATTCTGCAGACCTGAATGTTTAAGTAACAGTGATTGTGCGTTTAATCAAGCATGTATCGGATGGAAGTGTGCAGATCCTTGTCTGGGTTCTTGTGGCGCTAATGCAAATTGTGCTGTTATTTTGCATACACCAGTTTGCAGTTGTCCATATGGACTGTATGGTAATCCGTACCATAGTTGCATTCCTCAAGCTGTAGAAACGCAAGATCCTTGCAGCACAACTCAATGCGGTGCTAATGCACTTTGCGAAGAAAGAAATGGCGCGACCACTTGTAAGTGCTTACCGAATTACTTTGGCAATCCTTTCATCGCATGCCACTTGGAGTGTGTACAGAATTCTGACTGCAGTATGGATCGAGCTTGTTCCAGTCACAAATGCGTGGATCCTTGTATTGGCACTTGTGGTCCCAGTGCATCTTGTGATGTTATCAATCATTTCCCTGTTTGTTACTGTAACACAGGATACTCTGGTGATCCATTCGTATATTGTCATCCAATACGAGATGTACCAGCGGTGCCAACACCATATCCATTGAATCCTTGTGATCCATCTCCATGTGGACCTTACAGCAGATGTACAGTATCACCTCAAGGCTACGCAACTTGTTCCTGCTTACCAGGATACAGAGGAAGTCCACCTCTTTGTAACCCAGAGTGCGTCGTCAGTTCTGATTGTCTGCAAATTCAAGCTTGCATAAATAACAAATGTGTTAATCCATGCAATGGAATATGTGGCTACAATGCACTGTGTTCTGTGATCAATCACAATCCTACATGCAGCTGTCCTGCTGATCAACTAGGAGATCCGTTCGTGAGATGTTATGCTCCGATCGACAGAGAAGAAGAGAAGAAACCGCTTTCGCCTTGCAATCCTTCACCTTGTGGACCTAATTCCATTTGCCAAGTCAAAATGGGCAGACCCGTGTGCTCGTGTCAGAGTACATTTATTGGAAGTCCACCATATTGCAGGCCAGAGTGTTTGATAAGTCAAGAATGTCCCATTGATCAGGCTTGTGTTAATCATAAGTGCATCCATCCGTGTCCGGATAGCTGTGGACCAAACTCCGACTGTACTGTCATAAGTCATACTCCTTATTGCTCCTGCAAGATTGGATTTGAAGGTGACGCATTCGTAGGCTGTACAAAGATACCACTACGAGAACCAGACCCACAAGATCCATGTGACCCATCGCCCTGTGGAAACAATGCGCTTTGCACGATTCGTGATGGAGCTGCCAAATGCAGCTGCATACCACCCTACATCGGAAATCCATATGTTGGCGGTTGCAGACCTGAGTGTATCATCAACGCAGATTGTTCAAGTCATCTGGCTTGTCTGAATCAACATTGTAGAGATCCTTGTCCTGGCGTATGCGGTTCTAACGCACAGTGTGAAGTGCTCAATCACATCCCTGTCTGTTCTTGCTTGTCAGGATACAGTGGTGATCCATTCCAGTCATGCAAAGTTGAGAAAGCTCCTTTGCCATCACAGAATCCATGCACCCCATCACCTTGCGGTCCATACAGCATCTGTCGTGTTATGAATGATCGTGCGGTATGTTCTTGCAGTCCTGGATACCAGGGTACACCACCATCTTGTCGTCCAGAGTGTCTAGTCAGTTCAGAATGTTCTCCACATTTGGCTTGTATCGGGCAGAAGTGCAGTGATCCTTGTCCAGGAGTTTGTGGTTTGAATGCCCATTGTCAAGTGAGCAACCACAACCCCATTTGCAGTTGTCCATCAAGATATACTGGAGATCCGTTTGTGCAATGTGTCAAGGAAGATGTGAAAGTTCCTGAACCGAAGAATCCTTGCCTACCATCTCAATGTGGTCCAAACGCAGAGTGTAGAGTTCAGGAAGGTCGACCAGTATGTGCCTGCCTCGCTGGAATGTTTGGCGCGCCGCCTAACTGCAGACCCGAGTGTCTCATTCACCAGGACTGTTCCAATCATCTTGCCTGCTTCCAGAAGAAGTGCACTGATCCGTGCATAGGTTCTTGTGGCTTTAACGCCAAGTGCACAGTGCAAAATCATCGTCCAATGTGCCAGTGCTATGAGGGATATGAAGGTGATCCATTCTATGGATGCAATCTCAAAGGTATATACAAAATCGAACACTTCTTTAAATTACTTTTACTTTGGAAACCGTACTAATTGCAATATCAAATGTTCCAGTTGTCTTACCAGAGGAACCACCCAGCGAGCCCTGCAATCCATCTCCATGCGGTTCGAATGCAGTATGCAAGGAACGTAATGGTGCTGGATCTTGCACTTGTTTACCTGATTATACAGGAGATCCATATGAAGGATGTAGACCAGAATGTGTCCAAAATTCGGATTGTATCCATACCAAGGCGTGCATTAACAATAAATGCAAAGATCCTTGTGATTCAGCTTGTGGACTTAACGCACAGTGTCAAGTGTTTAACCATCAGCCATCTTGCTCTTGTCTACCTGGTTACACTGGAAATCCATTGACATCTTGTCATATCCCTCCAGCAGGTAACACCTCACATGTATATTATCTTAATGATTGATGAACTACAATCTTAAAATACTCATTTGCAATAATATGAACCACTATGTGGACGATTAATTTATTTCTTTTATTTGCAGTTGGCCATATACCAGTAGACCCTTGCCAACCGTCTCCATGTGGACCATACAGTAACTGTCGTGTTATTAATGACCATGCAGTGTGCACCTGTCAATCAAATTACATTGGCAGTCCACCAAATTGTAGGCCTGAGTGTGTAGTTAGTGCTGATTGTGCACAGAACAAAGCATGTATCAACCAAAGATGCAATGATCCATGCCCAAGCACGTGCGGTCAGAATGCAAATTGTCAAGTCGTGAATCACAATCCAATTTGCAGTTGTCCTTCTGGATATACCGGAGATCCATTCTTCGAATGTTTGAAGGAAGAACGTGAGTACTGTATTGAAATACCTTAGTTTAGTGTAAATGTATAAGCTAAGTATAATAAAAATTGGCTTATAACCATCTTTTTTTTTTCACAGTAAAAATACCAGCTCCAGGTCCAAGTGGCAACCCATGCATTCCATCTCCATGTGGTCCCAATTCACAATGCCGAGTTATCGATGGATTCCCAGCTTGTTCCTGTCTGCCTAACTACGTTGGTCGTGCACCCAACTGTCGACCAGAATGTGTGACAAATGAGGAGTGTCCTGGAAATCTAGCATGCCTGAAGGAACGATGCACAGATCCTTGTCCTGGTTCTTGTGGTGTAAATACATACTGTAACGTTGTGAAACACCATCCTGTTTGTGTTTGCAATCTAGGATACACTGGTAATCCATTCACTCAGTGTACACCAATAATGGAAGGTATATTACTGTTTTTTTTTTTTTACTGCATATACAATTTTTATTTATTCGCCAAGCACTGAGAGCTTAGACTCATGAAAATTATTAATGTTTCAGAGCCAACGACTACTGAGCCTCCTCGTACTCCGTGCAATCCATCGCCATGTGGAGCCAATGCAGTTTGCAATGAGCTCAACGGCGCAGGATCCTGCAGTTGCTTGCCTGAATACTTCGGCGATCCTTACACAGGCTGCAGGCCAGAATGTGTGACGAACGCAGATTGTGATCGTAGCAAAGCTTGCGTGGGCAATAAGTGCAAGAATCCATGTTCTAGAGCATGTGGACAGAATGCAGTTTGTCGTGTTATGAATCATGCTCCATCTTGTTCTTGCTTAGCAGGCTATACAGGAGATCCTTTAACGTTTTGTGGAGTAATCGAAGCGGTTACTACCGAGCCTATAACAGATCCTTGCGAACCTTCACCCTGTGGACTGAACAGCAATTGCCGTACTCTGAATGGCCATGCTGTGTGTTCTTGCCAGACTGGTTTTATCGGTACTCCACCATCCTGTAGACCAGAGTGCACTGTTTCGTCAGAATGTCCGCAGAACAAGTTCTGCGTCAAATATAAATGTGCCGATCCGTGTATAGGAACTTGTGGTGAAAATACCAAATGCGTTGTTGTAAATCACAATCCAATCTGCAGCTGCAGTATTAGTTACACTGGAGATCCTTTCTCACGGTGTGTTAAAATCGAAATGCCACGACCACCTCCAAAAGACGTTGGAAATCCTTGCGTGCCAAATCCATGCGGACCAAATTCTCAGTGCAAAGTTATCGGCTCACAACCTGCGTGTTCATGCTCATTGAACTACATTGGCAGACCTCCAAATTGCAGACCTGAATGTACTGATAACTCGGAATGTCCTACCACTGCTGCTTGTATTAATCAACGTTGCAAGAATCCTTGCCCCGGTGCTTGTGGTGAGCTTGCTCGATGTGCCGTGCAGAATCATGCGCCTGTATGCACCTGTCCTGAAGGATATATTGGAGATGCATCTGTTAGTTGTACATTGGCACCTCCTCCACGTAAGTACAGATATTTTACATAACTTAAAATTATCTATGTTTAATCATTTCAAACGGTAACACATATTAATTGTTAATACAGCCAGAGAACCAGAACCATCGAATCCTTGTTTGCCGAATCCGTGTGGACCCAATGCTCAATGTCGTGAAAGAAATGGTGCTGGTGCTTGCGCCTGTCCATCTGATTTCATTGGAGATCCTTATGACAAACAAAAGGGTTGTCACAGGGAATGCGAATCAAGCAATGATTGTGCTGAGCATTTGGCTTGTGTTGGATTTAAGTGCATTGATCCCTGTCCATCAACTTGTGGTACTTTGGCCATCTGCAGTGTTAAGGCACATGTGCCTGTCTGCAACTGTCCACCAAGTTATGTTGGAGATCCTTACTTTGCTTGTAACATTGAGGAGACTAAAGGTAATTGACAGATTCAATAGACATTATTTTCTTATAAGAAGATCAGTTTCAATTTTAATTTAATATCATCTCCAATAGACATACCACCAGCCAGAGATCCTTGTTCACCATCACCGTGTGGACCTAACAGCAAGTGTCGTACTGTTAATGGACAAGCTGTATGCACTTGTCAACCAGAGTACATTGGTGTTCCGCCATCTTGCAGACCAGAATGCATTGTCAATGCTGAATGTCCAGTCCATCTCGCCTGTATCAATAAGAAGTGTGCTGATCCTTGTCCAAACACTTGTGGCTTGAGAGCACAATGTACTACCAAGAATCACAATCCAATTTGCACCTGCCCAGCTGGTTTTACAGGAGATCCATTCACTCAGTGTTCTCCTCGTGGTAATAATACAATCTAGAGGCTAACGAAAGTGGTTTAGGGTTTTAATGGTGGACTACAAAAATGTCTTTTTTTTTAGTAATTGCTGATATCCCAACAACACAAAGACCACCGTCATGCACACCATCTCCCTGTGGTCCAAACTCTCAGTGTCAAATTATATCAGGAAATCCTGCATGTTCTTGTCTTCCAAACTTCGTCGGTCTTCCTCCAGAATGTCGACCAGAGTGCAGCATAAGTGCTGAATGTAAGAGTCATCTTGCTTGCGTAAATCAGAGGTGCCAGGATCCTTGCACCGGTTCTTGTGGTATCAATGCACAGTGCCATGTCCTGAATCACATTCCGGTGTGTACTTGCATCGAGAGATACACTGGTGATCCATTCACACAGTGCACGATAATTCCACCGAGTACGTACAATACATTTTCTAAAAGTCTGTCGATCTTGGTTTCGTGACACGCAGTTGTAATAATGATTTTCTCTAATTTTCAGCTACTGAACCTTCGATTCATAGCGACCCTTGCAATCCATCGCCTTGTGGACCCAATGCAATATGCAGAAATGGTGATTGCGAATGTTTACCAGAGTATACTGGAAATCCATTTGAAGCCTGTCGACCTGAATGCATCCTGAACTCAGAATGTCCCCGTGACAAGTCTTGTCTGCGTAACAAGTGCAAAGATCCCTGTCCTGGTGTCTGCGGCCAGAATGCTCAATGCGACGTGGTCAATCACATTCCTGTTTGCTCCTGTCCAACTGGATACGTTGGCGATCCTTTCGTTAACTGCAGAGTACAACCACAAGCTCTGCCAGAAGATAAACGAGATCCTTGCACCCCATCCGTTTGTGGACCAAACAGTCAATGCAGGAATATCGATAACCATGCTGTATGCTCTTGTCTGCAAGGATATCTTGGTGCGCCACCTTCCTGCAGACCAGAGTGTATCGTAAGCTCTGAATGCTCACCCACTAGGGCTTGTGTTAACAAGAAATGCACTGATCCATGTCTGGGTTCTTGTGGATTGAATGCACGTTGTGAAGTCATCAATCATTCTCCAATTTGCAGCTGCTTGCCTGGACAGACTGGTGATCCATTTAGGAGCTGTTATGATATTCCAAGTAAGATACCAAATGACTTAACTTTTCGTGAATTTACAGTTTTATAAACGATGTTAACAATATTTCATTTTAATCATTGCAGTTGTGCCCGAACCGAAATTGCCTGAAGATCCTTGCAATCCTTCGCCTTGTGGTCCAAATGCACAATGTCAAAATGTTAATGGCCAACCATCATGTTCATGCTTGCCGTCTTACATTGGAACGCCACCTTCCTGCAGACCCGAATGTGTTATAAATCCTGATTGTCCTTCAAACAAGGCGTGCATAAATTCAAAATGCAAAGATCCTTGTCCCGGTTCTTGTGGAAGCAATGCTGAGTGCAGAGTAATCAATCATGCTGTGACATGTACTTGTTTCACTGGATACACCGGTAATCCGTTTGTGCAATGTGTTATCAAACAAGGTAATAAGCAATTGTACAAGGTTATTATATTAATTTTAATTCCAAATACGTTTATTAAATCTATATATTTTACAGATGAAGTTATCAATCCATGCGAACCATCGCCTTGTGGTGCCAATGCAGTTTGCCAGCAACGTGACAATGCAGGTGCATGCAGCTGCATCGAGGACTACCATGGCAATCCATACGAAGGCTGTCAACCTGAATGCATCCTTAGTTCAGACTGTCCAACGAACAAGGCTTGTGTTCGAAACAAATGCGAGGATCCATGTCCTGGTGTCTGTGGTACACAAGCTCAGTGTTCTGTCGTTAATCACATTCCAACTTGCATTTGCTTCCCTGGATACATTGGCGATCCTTTCACGTTCTGTACACTTCAGCCAGAACCAAGTACGTAAAACTGTCCTCTATGGAATTAAGCATTTCATTTACTGATCTTACTAACCAACATTATCATTACAGCTACCGAAGCAACGGTCATTGATCCTTGTAGACCATCTCCATGTGGACCCAACAGTATCTGTCGTGCAATCAATGATCAGGCTGTGTGCACTTGCCAAGAATCATACATAGGTTCACCTCCAAATTGTAGACCAGAGTGCGTTGTACATTCCGAATGTCCACAAAATCGTGCCTGCTACAAGTACAAGTGCAATGATCCTTGTCCTGGTACTTGTGGAGTCGAAGCCAGATGCCAAGTGATCAATCACAATCCTCTGTGCAGTTGTCCTGCAGGAATGACAGGAGATCCTTTCTCAAGATGTTATCCTCAACCAAGTAAAAACACAGGATACATTTATACCTTAGCACACAATACTCGTAAATAATTTTTATATAATGTACGTTTTTTTCTTACAGTCGAACCACCAATCGTTGAAATGACACCAAGAGATCCTTGTGCATACAGTCCATGCGGACTTTACGCTGAATGCAGAAATGTCGGTGACCAAGCAGCTTGTTCCTGTCTCAAGAATTATATTGGCTCTCCACCAAATTGTCGACCTGAATGCGTTGTGAATACGGATTGTCCTTCGAATCAAGCTTGCATCTCAGAGAAATGCAGAGATCCTTGCGTTGGATCGTGCGGGCAAAATGCGGATTGCCGTGTTCAGAATCACATACCGACTTGTCTCTGTCAACAGGGATTTACTGGCGATCCATTTACACTTTGCTCACTGATCATTGGTAAGATTTCATTTATATACAATGATACTATGTTTTATTGTATACGAACATATGAAAATTGGTCACATTCATATTTTACAGAACAACCAAAGGTTCCTCAGGATCCTTGCAATCCATCACCGTGCGGACCCAATGCAATATGTAACGAAGGCAGCTGTACCTGCCTTCCTGATTACTTTGGTGATCCTTACTCCTATTGTCGGCCGGAATGTACCATGAATTCCGATTGCAGTCGAGTGAAAGCTTGCATCAACCAACACTGCATAGATCCTTGTCCAGGAACTTGCGGCACTGCAGCTCGTTGCGATGTTGTCAATCATATTCCAATGTGCAGTTGTCCACCTGGTACGACTGGAGATCCATTCTCGTTCTGTCGACCATTCAAGCAAGAAGGTGTGTATTGCGTTACTCGGTATAAAACAAAATGATGAACCAAGAATTACATAACACTAATAATTTGTATTCTCATTAGATACTCCTAAGCAACCATGCACGCCATCTCCTTGTGGGCCAAACAGCATCTGCAAGGTCATCAATAACCACGCAGTATGTTCCTGCCAGTTGAACTTCATTGGTAGTCCACCATCTTGCCGACCGGAGTGCATCGTCAGTGCAGAATGTCCATTGACGCAAGCTTGTCTAGCAAACAAGTGTCAAGACCCGTGTCCTGGAACCTGCGGACAGAATGCCAGGTGTCAGGTTGTGAATCACAATCCTATTTGCAGCTGCTCCGAAGGGAACACAGGCGATCCGTTCACCAGGTGTTACCCAATACCAGGTAAGATTTAAATAATTTCAAATCCCTATATGGAACCAATCAACATGTAAAAATAACAATGATCTTGTTTATATCAGTGGAGACACCCAAAGTGCCTACCAATCCTTGCTTGCCATCGCCCTGCGGACCAAATTCAGAGTGTCACGTACGCGGCGAAAGTCCTGCATGTTCCTGCTCGCCAAATTACATCGGTATACCACCAAACTGCAGACCAGAATGCACTATCAATCCCGAATGTGCACCGCAGTTCGCCTGCATTCAACAAAAGTGTCGTGATCCTTGTGTCGGTCTTTGCGGTCTGAATGCACGTTGCTCCGTCATCAATCATCACGCCGTCTGCAGCTGCATAGAAGGTTACACCGGTGATCCGTTCAGCAGTTGCCAGCCTGCCGTTAAGGGTAAGTACATATACTCGTCGACTCTTCATTACTGCATGTACCTGATGTTGCTTGCATGCCAAGGTGAACAAGGTAAGTGCTAGAAATAGTTTCAGAAAGTCACGCGACTTCAGTTTAGTCGCATAATAGGAGATTCCTTAGCGGCCAAGCGGTCGAGCTAAAACGCTTTCAAGGAAGCTTCCTGGTTTTGAAAGCTTCTCGATAACCATATTGAAATATGAAATGCGTTTGAAATGAAAATGGTGGCGGGGCCTATCGACTGGGCTCGATAATGCACTCCTCCCCAGCGTTTCCCCCTGAAGCCCAATTTAATCCGGCCTGATAACAAAGATACTACGATACCCAAGACCCATTAAAACAAGGATGGCGAATCGTTCCCTTCCGCCCCATACATCCCTGATAACAAGGACACTGCGATGTCCTTACCCTGAACCAACCACCTGCGATTAACGTTAAGCCCCATAATATTGCCGACCCCTAATTCACATGCGCCTAGTACGCAGCATGTAGCCTGAATGATTTTACTGCTACGATACATAAGAAATTATATTACACCAGCATCATACGAATAAACCGTAATCCCTGATGCCTCGCTAAGACGTGGAAAGATTCCTTAGCGAAAAATAAAATAATAGACAAATTGCACAAGCCGCTTATATAACACCATAATATATACCTAGTTACTGAGAGTGTAGCTACCAACCATATGTTACACATTATACAATGCACTGCAAATTATAACAGCCTTGCGTAGTCCATACCCACCGAATTAAAACGATCATTCATCAATAGAAATAAGCGCTTACCTGGTCCAATGAAATACAAAATAAAACCCTCCCGCAGTAATACCCATGATATATCAACTGCACTGCCGTAGGTCAACCCTCTCTAACCCAAAATCAAGAGAGGATAATTCACAGCTCTTGGGGGCCACGCACTAATATGGCACTTATACCTATGCTTTTGGAGTCAAAATGATAAAAAAAAAAATTTCTATTTCCAGTAGAGCCCCCGAAAGAAATTAGGAATCCGTGCGACCCATCTCCCTGTGGCAGCAATGCCATCTGCCGCGAGTATAACGGAGCAGGAGCATGCTCGTGCCTCCCAGACTACATAGGTAACCCGTACGAGGGCTGTCGCCCTGAGTGCGTCATTAATTCCGACTGCATGTCGAACATGGCTTGCATCAACACCAAGTGCAAGGACCCATGCCCAGGAACCTGCGGTTATAATGCCCAGTGCCACGTGGTGAACCACTTGCCATCTTGTTATTGTAACGCAGGCTTTACAGGAGACCCATTCAGACATTGTTCAGCAGTCCAGCCAATCAGTAAGCCCAGATGCATTAAGAAAGAGAATTGCTGCTCATTAAAACATTAAAGTGCACAGGCTTAACGTTGTATTTCCTAATGCAGTTGTGGAGGACGAAGTAGACCCATGCAGTCCCTCGCCCTGTGGACCCAATAGTAAATGCCGTGACTTGAATGGTCAAGCTGTCTGTTCCTGCCTACCAAACTACATTGGAAGTCCCCCAAGCTGTCGACCGGAGTGCGTTGTCAACAGCGAATGTCAATTGCAGCTTGCTTGTGTCAATTTGAAATGCATATCGCCCTGCCCGACTCCCTGCGGTATAAACACGCAGTGCAGAGTGATCAATCATAGTCCTATATGCATTTGTAATGTTGGCTACACCGGAGATCCCTTCAGCAAATGTTTCCCAGCACCTCGTAAGAGATTTAATGCATATTACTCAAGATGCCTTTACGCACCTTTAAATTTGCACATTTAAATTGTAGCCTTTGAGTATGATCTCTTTCGATGAATTTTATACTTCAGATTTATATACTTTGTCATCCTTATATTTCGTTTATATGGACATCTTGAGGCAACGACGGCCATTCGACAGCTGCGTTAATAATTCTTCAATTTCAGCACCACCCCCTCCCTCTGAAGCTTTGGACCCCTGTGTACCATCCCCCTGTGGGCCCCATGCAGAATGTAGAAATATTGGAGGAGTACCATCCTGTTCCTGTCTCTCTAAATACATTGGATCCCCGCCGAATTGTCGGCCGGAGTGCAGAGTGCATTCTGATTGTGCAATGAATATGGCTTGTAGCAATGAGAAATGCAAAGATCCTTGTTTGGGCTCGTGTGGCCAGACTGCTCTGTGCTCAGTGCATAATCACGTACCGGTATGCATTTGCCCTGAAGGATACACTGGTGATCCATTTAGTGGCTGTTACCCAAAACCACCACCCCCTCCAAGTAAGATTGCAGCTCATGAATGGAAACAAAAAGAATTGTCGATTCTAAAAATTAAAATGAATCTATTCCCTTCTAGCCGTACCACTTGAAACTGATCCTTGTGATCCGTCACCTTGTGGCTCCAATGCACAGTGCCGTAATGGAGTTTGCACCTGCTTGCCAGAATATCAGGGCGATCCTTATTTCGGTTGTAGACCTGAATGTGTTTTGAATACGGATTGTCCTTTGAATAGAGCTTGTGTACGGAATAAGTGCGTGGATCCTTGTCCTGGTACTTGTGGTCAGAATGCACTTTGCGTCGTGTATAATCACGTACCCATGTGCAGCTGCCCCACAGGAATGACAGGAAATGCATTTGTGCACTGTTCCGCATACCGAGGTACGTTTGTGATGAAATTTTCAAAAATTGAATCCTCTTGTGATAGCATCGATTAGTTCAAAGTCAGTTTCATGAATCTTTTCTAATTCTACCTTCCTGATATAAACAGAACCGCCCAAGAGGAATCCCTGCACTCCAAGTCCCTGCGGACCGAATAGTATCTGCCGTGAAATAAACGAGCAGGCTGTCTGTTCGTGTGTATCAGGATTTATTGGATCACCGCCATCTTGTAGACCAGAATGCGTAGTCAGCTCAGATTGTTCATTGAACGAAGCTTGTATCAATCAGAAATGTATTGATCCTTGCCCTGGTTCATGTGGACTCAAGGCCGTTTGCAATGTGATCAATCACAATCCTATATGCAGCTGCTTGCCACGGTTTACGGGTGATCCATTTGTTCGATGCACTCCACAACGTAAGAATATCAGACATCATTTTTTCATATGTAGAATTCCTTGTAGAATCATAATTAATCCGCCTTTGTTCGTTTATTCTCAGCGGTACAAGACGTGGTAAAGGTCGATCCTTGTCAGCCGTCGCCATGTGGTCCCAATGCTCAGTGCCACGTAGTAAACGATCAGCCATCTTGTTCTTGTTTGCCAGAGTTCACAGGATCTCCGCCTTACTGTAAACCTGAATGCATCAGTAATAGCGAGTGTTCGAGTCACTTAGCTTGTATTAATCAGAAGTGCAAGGATCCTTGTCCAGGATCATGTGGTGCCAATGCAGAATGCCGTGTAGTTAGTCACACAGCAATGTGTGTCTGCATAAATGGCTATGTAGGAGATCCTTTCAGTCAGTGTAGCGTCAAGCCACGTAAGGATATTTTGAAAAAAAAAATATTTTCAACTATTAATTTAGAGAATATTGTTGATACATATTTATTGTCCCTGTAGCTTCACCAATAGAACATCTTTCTCCTTGCACTCCATCACCTTGCGGTTTCAATGCAATATGCAAGGAACTTAATGGCGTAGGCTCATGCACCTGCTTGCCAGAATACGTAGGAAATCCTTACGAAGGATGTCGACCAGAATGTGTAGTAAATTCAGACTGTGCTTCGAGTCTTGCCTGCATTCGATCCAAGTGTCAGAATCCTTGTCCTGGAACCTGTGGACAGAATGCAGAATGCCAAGTGATCAATCACTTACCATCGTGCACCTGCATTCCTGGTTATACTGGAGATCCGTTCCGTTACTGCAACTTGATACCAGTACCTGGTAATAGCACAGCCGATTTTTTAAATTTCCTATCCAAATTATCTGACCCAAGTAATTTTCAAAATGTATCTATCATCGCAGTAGTGCAAGATGAGCCACGAGACCCTTGCAATCCATCACCCTGTGGACCGAACAGTCAATGTCGAACGATTAACGGTCAAGGTGTATGTTCCTGTCTACCAGAATATACCGGAAGTCCGCCAGGATGTCGTCCCGAGTGTGTCGTAAGCTCTGAATGTTCGAGAAACAAAGCTTGCATCAATCAGAAATGTGTTGATCCTTGTCCTGGTCCATGTGGACTAAGTACGACTTGTGTGGTTTTGAATCATAGTCCAATTTGTGCTTGCAAGCAAGGTTTAACTGGAGATCCATTCACTAAGTGTTTCCCTATACCAAGTAAGATACAAGACGCCCCATCTTTTAGTCAGTCGAGTGTTTGGAAATCTAGTTTCTAAAAACTCTTTTCTTTCAGAACCAATACCAACCCCAGTTGTAGTATCAAATCCATGTGTACCAGGAGTATGCGGGCCAAATGCTGAATGTAGAGATATTGGTGGTGCACCATCTTGCTCTTGTCTGCCTACTTACCTAGGCAGTCCTCCAAATTGTAGACCAGAATGTACGATCAATGCTGATTGTCCCAGTAGTAGAGCTTGCATCAATCAGAAGTGCAAAGATCCTTGTCTTGGCTCTTGTGGCGTTGGATCTCGTTGTGCAGTCGTGAATCACACTCCAATGTGTACATGTCCTGAGGAATACACTGGAGATCCTTTCAGCAATTGTTACCTGAAGCCACCCGAAAGTAAGAATCCGGCATTTCCTTCATATCAAACAGATCACTCCGATCTGGATTCTATATCAAGCTTTCCATTTTATTCTAGTATCAACACAACCAGTCTTTACGGATCCTTGTAATCCATCCCCATGTGGACCAAATGCCCAATGCAATGCAGGAGTGTGCACTTGCCTACCGGAATACCAAGGAGACCCTTATCAAAGTTGTCGACCTGAATGTGTCCTGAATACAGATTGTCCATTAAATAGAGCTTGTGTCCGAAACAAGTGCATAGATCCTTGTCCAGGCACGTGTGGTCAGAATGCCATATGCAATGTCTTCAATCATGTCCCCATGTGCA